GGCTGCCTGCGCGCAGCGGGGTAGGGGAGCGGCACCGCCTGCACGGGTGCACCGTGGGAAAACCCGGGCTATAGACTTAAAACCAGATTGTGTTGCGTTTATTTGCATGGTTTTCTTTTCCTTTTCTTTCTATTTGCACCCCAAACGCTGACGTGATGTGTAGTCCGAGTTCAGATCTCCTACTTAACTGAAGAGGTGGTGCATGCTCCATCTTACTATTTCTATGCTTGTTTTTTCAAGTCCAACACCAAAGTATCTGCCTTTACTATCTAGCTCTCTAACACCATGTTAACCTCAGTGCAGATACTGTGTATCAGTTTTGGTCACAAGAATGAAATCATTCTTTAAGCCATTTCAAAAGCATTTGGCTTGATAAGTCTCTACAGAACAACTGAGACAGTTGTTTTGTCTTTCACCAGTATTCGACGTTTAAGAGCACACACTTCAGCCTGAAAGTCCCAATGCCTGGACCACAGGTGCAGCAAGATGATTCATAGAACCACAGAATGGTTTGGGTTTGAAAAGACCTTAAAGCTCACCCAATTCCAACCCTCTGCCACGGGCAGGGACACCTTCCACTAGAGCAGGTTGCTCCAAGCCCCTGTGTCCAGCCTGGCCTTGAACACTGCCAGGGATGGGGCAGCCACAGCTTCTCTGGGCAACCTGTGCCAGCGCCTCAGCACCCTCACAGGGAAGAACTTCCGCCTAAGATCTCATCTCAATCTCCCCTCTGTCAGTTTAAAGCCATTCCACCTTGTCCCTACAGGCCATTGTCCAAAGCCCCTCTCCAGGTTTCTTGTCAAACCCTTTAGGCACTGGAAGCTGCTCCAAGGTCTCCCTGGAGCCTTCTCCAGACTGAATAACTCCATCTCTTAAGTATTTGTGTAGGGTTTTAAAACCTCATAGTTTCACAGCAGCACTAAATAGTTCTCACAAGTGTTCATAGATAGTTAGGTACAAGATAGAAAAAGTTATAGTTTAAAAATACATGTACTTTCAGAAATCCTCGGAAATGTGGTGTTGGCTGGGTGGTGTGAGGAAGCAAAGCAGCAACGCTCTACTCCTCTGCTGTCTCTTCTTCCAGAGAAGTTGTGCTTTGACTAACTTCTTGGCATTGTTAATTCAGGAATGAAGGATTTTTTTTTACCTGAAAACTGGAAAATGTTCAGGTTTTTCAGACAGGGATTTATGTGTGAAAGTACTAGTGAGTTTCGGTGAGCTGAACAAAATCCTGAGTTGCACGGAAAAGGAATTTTCTATGATGAGAGCAATTTCTCCAATGGGCATGATGAAGATGGACTTTCTCACATAGTTTTTCTTTACTAGTTGTTCTCACTCAAGTGTAGTTTTGCTGTGCATGAAAACCAGGTAGATCTATCTTACCTATACATTGTCAACCAGAGTTTGATGTGACCATATATAGGTGGAGTTTGCAAATCCCTTTTTGAATGTTTGAAGACATAGCTCAGCTTAATCTGTATTTATTAGGATAACATCTAGGGCAATGTCTGTTCTTGCTCTTGAAGGTGTTGTTGAAACTGAAGGCATGTACACATGAGTTTTGTAATCTGCTTTTCTTCCAATGGTTGTTTTCAGGATGCTACTGTTAGACTTCAGAAGGGAATTGTAAGGCTTTTCTGCAAATTGCTTGGTTCCTTTCCCAACCATACTTGCACTCTTAGCTACTGCCAATGATCACGACTAGGGAATAGGAAATTATGTTGTCTCTTAAGGAAAGCAAAATTGGAAAGCAAATGAGGTCAATTCAAACTTGCGTGTCCTGTTCTTCCTTCCGAATGTACTATTTAGTGAACTGATGGTGAGAAATAAATTGATGCTGATCGGTTGTAATTCAACTTTTATGCAATCATAGAATCATAGAATGGTTTGGGTTTGATGGGACCTCAAGATCATCTAGTTCCACTCCCCCCTTGCCATGAGCAGAGACACCACATACTGAACTATGTTGCCCGAGGCTCTGTCCAACTTGGCCTTGAACACCTCCGGGGTTGGAGCATTCACAACTTCCTTGGGCAACCCATTCCAGTGCCTCACCACCCTCACTGTGAAGAACTTCTTCCTTAGATCTATCTAAACTTCCCCTGTTTAATTTTAAACCCATTCCCCCTTGCCCTGCCACTACAGTCCCTAATGAAGAGTCCCTCCCCAGCATCCTTGTAGGCCCTGTTCAGATATTGGAAGGCTGCTATGAGGTCTCTATGCAGCCTTCTCTTTTCCAGGCTGAACAGCCCCAACTTTCTCAGCCTGTCTTCATACAGGAGGTGCTCCAGCCCTCTGATCATCCTTGTGGCCCTCCTCTGGACTTGCTCCAGCAGCTCCGCATCCTTCTCATGTTGAGGACACCAGAACTGTACACAATACTCCAAGTGAGGTCTCACAACAGCAGAGTAGAGGGGCAGGATCACCTCCTTTGACCTGCTGGTCACGCTTCTTTTGATACAGCCCAGGATACAGTTGGTTTCTGGGCTCAAGTGCACACTGAAGCCGGCTTATGTCAAGCTTCTTATCAACCAACACCCCCAAGTCCTTCTCCACAGGGCTGCTCTGAATCTCTTCTCTGCCCAGCCTGTAGCTGTGCCTGGGGTTGTGCCGACCCAGGTGTAGGACCTTGCACTTGGCAGACAATGGAAACAGACAAAGTCAAGCAATACATTCTTTTCTGTTATTGTCTCTGTAAAGCTAATATTTGATAAATTTGGGTAGCCTAATATTAGACTTTCAATTACTACACGTAAAACTGATCATTTTGATATGTGCCTTTACCTAGTTATACTGCTATAAATCTTCTGTGTGCAATTATTGTGAGCACAGTCATTTCCCCAAAGTTACTGAATTATGCACCAATGTAGGCAGATGTATTGCTGTTCATACAGTAAGTGAAATGGAGTAACTTAGCATAATCACGTTAGGTAAAACTGCCAATAGACCATGTAATAAAGCATGTTACTCTAGGGGCAGGATTCTAATACAAATTCTTCCAGCATAAATACAGTGATTTTACTGGGATTGTGCAAGATTTCCATGAAACTCATTAGATTCCGACTGACCTGTTTAGTACAGCTGAAGGCAGTGCCCGGATATAGGTGGATGTACTTTTATTCCATACATGCCAACCCTGTGTGTGGATACCCACCATTTGTTGCATAGCCAGCTTGTTTTGCTTAATCAAACATATTTGTTTTCCTTCCTTGTTTCCAGTTTATTCTTTGCTTCAGTTTTTACCAATGGGAACCAATGACTTACGGAGCTTACCATTATCCAGGCTGGTCCATGGTGCTTGGATGGCTGATGCTGGCCTGCTCAGTTATCTGGATCCCAGTTATGTTTGTGATAAAAATGCATCTAGCCCCAGGCAAATTTATTGAGGTAATTCTTCTGTCTTTTTGCTGCTTAAAAATATGGTTGCAGGAGACTGTCTAGTTTATTTTACATTGATTTTTTTTTTTGGTATTGAATGTCTCATAGTGCTCAGATTACTTTCTGGTAAGCTAGTTATTGTGTTGCAAAGAGATGCTTGGTTGATTTAAAATGCAAGACATTCTATCCCCTGTTCCTCAGCAAAACAGTCCTAAATTGTTAAGTGATTGCCTACTTGGGAACTAGAAGGAGTTATAGAGCAGTGGTATGATGTTATTGAAAGAAAGCTGTTCTAGTTTTGCTGGTCTCTTTGTAAAAGCAGCCTGTAGACGTAGGAAGCATCGACTGCTGGTGCGTATCGTGTCGCAGCGAGCCTGGAAGTCAGGGCAAGGAGATACCAATCTGGAGTTGCCTGTTTGCAAGGTGTGAGATGGTTGGGTACCAGAATCTGCAGGATGCACTCCAGGATGCTGTGCCACTTGATGAAATTCAGGAATAAGATGTATCCAAAAGACCTCATGCTCTACAGCTCAAATGACTCATTTTAGAACTTCGCTGGCAATCCTTTTCCCCCCTGCTTCTTCATCTCTTTGTTTTTCTTGAATAAGCTGATTCTCTCTCGCACCTGGGCTTAAAAAGAATTCCAGGTGGCACTTTATTTTTATGCTGCTTGTGTTTATTTTGCAAATCAGATTCTTGCTGCTTCCTCCACTGCTCCAGAAGTGTGGCAGGCCCTTTCTGCTACCTGTTTCTGCGCTCTGGCCCTGCCTGTATCCTGCTGCCACCCCCTTTGCTCCCTGGCTGGTCCCATCCCACTGCCTCCTCAGCTCTTTGCAGGCAATGTCTTTTTCATGTCAGCATTTCCTCCCTCTGTTGCCTTCACCTTGTCTTTGGTGGAAGTTCCATGCTCTTATTTTTGGCCTTTGAGGCTTTCTTAGATCTGCCCTCTCATTGCTGCATGCTGCTCGTGCTGCTCCCTCCTCGGGATGAGGAACAGACACTCACCTCCTCTTTTCCATAGCTGTTTTTGCAGTTCAGCTCTCCTGCAAAACCCATCGGGACTGTTACATGCCTCAAAGATGAAAAGGAGAGAAAATGTACTAAAATAGAGTAATCTTTTTGGTCTCTCAATATGTCATACTACACACGCCAAAGGGAAAAGAGCATGCTTTTCTGTTTCACATAGAGCAAGAGAATTTAATATTAAGTGGTGGGACACCCAAGGGAAAGCATCTGAGCACACGGCTGGCACTAGGCAATGAGGCTACTTGTCTAAAGGGCCATTCAGCCCTTGTGAGAAGCACATTGGAGTGCACAGGTCAGGAGACAACTGCTCCTTCTGGGAATGAGCTAATGAGAAATTAGACTTGCTTGTTCATCGTCTCATGGGTTTCTCTCATTGAGACAAATTGCTCTGCTTCAAATCTTCTAACTTACATGTGTAGTGCTGGTGCAAAAATAGGGTGCTCTCCTTACTGCCCCTCTACTAGTGCACTCGAAGAAACATCAAAAAGTTGGATCTGCTTTGAAGGGGCTTTAGCTGAAGCGATTTCAGCTGTAGCCTGGTATTTCCCAAATACCAAGTCTGCTGCGTAAAATTATTATGGTTGATTTGGGAGTTGCAAACTGGTAATTAAGCAGAGATTAAAATAACTGATATAGAGGCCTGATTCACTTTATTAGGTAATAAACATATAATTGTTCCCTTTTAAGTCATCAGAAATAAGTTTTCTTTCCTTTTTATCTGTAAATGCACCAATCAAATGATATATTCTATAAGGAAATCAACGGAAAGATGAGAAGATTTTTGTTGTTTGCCAGGTTAATGTTCTCCTCTTTCTTTTTTCCCACAGATAGTAATGAAACATTTTGTCATCTCAAAATTAAAATCCTTGTTCATTCATAGCTATGTACTTCTTTTTGGTCATTTGTGTACCTTTGGGAAATATGCAAACCAGAAATCCAATTATTTTAATGCCGTTACCCACTGCTTAAGACCATGGGACTAAGTAATTGTGCACATGTCCTTCAGTAAGTGAGCCTTGTGATCTGCAGCAGTGGTTCTGAGCTCCCCTCATATGGTGCGGAGGAGAATGTATAATCAAAATCTGGGCACTTGAACCTCTATTAATCATGCAAACTTTGTGCAAAACAAACACTGAGCAGTGGAGCATTGCAGGGCCATCATCCATAATCTTAAATGAGCCTATCCTCATTTCTTCTGTGTCATGATTCTGCTCTGCAACTTCAAATGAGACTTTCTTTTCTCTCCCCCACACTGCAGCGACTCAAGTTGGTGTGCTCTCCACAGCCTGACTGGGGTCCGTTTTTGGCCAAGCACCGCGGTGAACGTTACATGAATATGATTGATCCACTGGGAACCTCTTCCCTGGGACTTAAACTGCCAGTGAAGGATATAGAACTGGGCACCCAATGCTAATAGTTATTACATGGGTGGCAAGAACATTGTTAGCCTTCTCTGATACTTTTTTCCATTTTCTTTCCCCACCATTTCTTCTCTTCTTTTCTGCAGTGCCTGGAAGTGGTTGCTTAGGAAAGTAGGACTTACTTACTGTTGCATGCCATAGCTAGACCACTTCCAGGTGTAGGTGATGCCCTGCAGGTGTAGGTGATGTGTTCTGTACCCGGTGAAATAGCAAAAGCATGTTGTGCAACAGGTGACACACCAGGTTTTGTCAGGAAATATACACAGGAATAGGAATAAACACAATGGAAAAATTGTGTTAAGGAAATTATGTGCAGAATTTTACTCATTTCATACAAGCATCCTTGTAACAGGTAGCTATGATGGGACTAGGATCTTCTTATCAGTGTAATCAAAGAGAAGTTCATCCCTGAGATGGGATGGAAGTGAGCAAATAAGGGGATGTCCTGTAGTCCTGGTACAAATCCAGCAGAAAGCTCCTGCAGTAAGCATGGTTACTTTTCCTACATGAACAGCAGATCTTGATCAATCATGTCTGTGTGCTTCTTGTATGATATATACTATTAGGACTTGTTATTTTAAGCAAGTGGAGACCATTTAACCAGCTCACCAGGAAGCAGTATGTGGGACCAGAACAGAAACACTATAATCCATCTGATCTTTTCAAGTGGAAAAGTGAAAGCAAAATTTCAAGAACTAATAATTTGAGACTGGGACTAAACTGCGTTTGAGTCTAGAAGTGGTTTGGGAATGGTGCTAGACTCAGGTGTAGGGGCATCACTGTTTAAAGAACTGCTGTATGTTTCTTCTGATAATATGATATCTGTCATTTCAGTTAAAAATGCCTCAGTTATACAAAGAGCCAGAAAGCTTACTCCACACTAAGAGCAACTGTGGTTTTACTTCACTCCTCTGAATGTAGTTTCCCTTGTTTCTCTGCTTTTGTTTACAGTATCTCCTCAAGAAGCCATCATATAATTTGTGCCTAACTTTGTATTCTTACTGTGGTAAGTGTAGTCTAGTTACCACCTGACAACAGTTACTAGAAGTTAGATGTGCTGTTCAACTTTGTGACTCCTCATCCATTCTCCTCTAAACCTCTTTACATAAACTTTAGATGATGTATTCTTCTCTTTCAACCAACGGGGAAATAGCAGAAACCCCACTTGCCTATATATTATATATATAGCACATAAATTCTTCAAAGCAGTAGTGTCTGAAATGTACATAGGGGTTGGTTTTGGTTTTTTTTTTTCTTGTTTGTTTGTTTTGTTGTTTTGGGTTTTTTTTTGGGGTTGTGGTGTTTTTTTTTTCCATTTAAAACATTTTCATGAAATAATCCCCCACCAAACCCCACAACAATTAACCACTGCGGTCGTCCATACAGATGCAGCATTAGATATCCAAAATGGGAGGGCAGGGGGGAGAGGACAACTTAATAGATGGCTTTTGTAACACTGCATAGCAATAGGACATTCTGAAACGTGACATATTAGAAATCACTTCTAAGTGGTGATATGAATGGTAGACTTAAATAGTTTTGTTACCTATTGGGCAGAGTAAAAACAGAACTTTTTAAGAGTACATTGATTTACCTGAATAGAACATTAGCCCAGTTTATTGTAAATGCACTAGAATGAGGGAGAAAAATATATCTTCGATAATTGACAAACCTTGTAACCTTTAACTATCTTGTTATATCCTATACATACATATATGATACTTTCTAACAGTGATCAGTGTTCATGTAGTGCGTACTAGTGATGTTTTATGTCCCTATGAATATCAGTCTAGAGATGGTGAGTTTAGAGTAGTTTAGCTGTTTTTTTCCCTCTCCACACACACTGCTGTAGTAGCCAGTAAATGTTCTTTCAGGGGACTATTTCTATACCCTTCTTTTGTCTGTCTGTCTTCATATTACAGGGTCTCAGGTAAATCTTCAGTTCATGTGTGTCCATAGATCAGTAGATGTGTTGTTTCATCCTGTTGAAGAAAACAAAACAAAAGCTAAACCTTAATGTTACGCTTCCACAAATTGTTAACTTCTTTTTTCTCTCTCTGTGTGTGTATATATATATGTATATTAAATATATTAACCATTTTGCTGAACTTCCTTTTTCACGGGGCAATTAGTGTTGCCAGTTCTAGGCACTGCTGGAGACCTTTAATCCTCATGCAGGACAAGCGAAGGAAGGGCAGATTTTGCAACATCTTGTGCTGGCCCTGAATCTCCAACCCACAGACTGGACCCTTCTGTGAGCTTCTCTGCTTTAAAGCTGCTTTGCCTGCTATTTTAATGAGGGTCTTGTTGTTAATCCTAGCTTTTATTTTCCTAGCAGAGGCAGGTATAATAAGCCATGCTCTGTTTGGTGTAATGAAGGTCCAGCTCCCATGTCTACATGGGGCTGAGGGGCCCTTTCTGGTTGAAGAAAGGGACCTAAGTCAGCACCTTTAGTGAGAATTAGGTATTTTTGTCAGGATAAATAGCTTTAGGCCTCTCTTTAGCAATACTACCTAGCATCTCACTTTGATTTTTGGAGTCCAGGCCAGTTTTCCTTCACTACTGCTGCAACTGGGGAAAAAAATTAAATCCATAGGTTTGTTCCTCTTTTTTTTTAAAAAAAAAAAGAAAAAAGGAAACACTCTCAAATGGCTTAACAGTTCTGAATCCTTTCACTTACTAACTTGTCTCAGGACATGCATTGGAACTGGGATTAATTAACTGCAATAAAATTACCTCAGTGTGAGGATGTCAGTTACTGTCTAAGCATAAAAGAGATATCATTTGAAGGAATACTGCTAGGTTATGATAGCTTTTATTTGGCTTGGATTACCAAACCAGAATGCATATGAAAAATTAAATTGCTTTCCATGATTTATGTAATTAATCTGCTTGCTTTTAATTTAGATGTTGTTCCTGTGCCTGCTAAGTCATTAGCATGGGATTAGGCTTGATTTTGAAACTCCAAAAACAAGCGATAATGATTTTGTTCTAGCTGATATTTGCATTCAGCTTTGACCTCCATTCCTAAGCGTGCAAAAACCTTCGGAGAGAGGGGACAAAAGCATAACAAAAATCACTGAAGGTATGAAGTTTTTGCTGTATGTTTAAAGCAGATTTTTTTCTCACATTAGACATTTTTAAGAAGTATTTTACTAGCCAAATCTGAATGTTGAGATTAAAGTAACCAGCAGTGTCTTCTTTAAATGAGAAGTAACCTCGAAGTTTGGAATGCACTTCATTTACCATGTCCAAGGAAAAGTTTGCATGTACTTCGATAATTTTCTAAAATTAAATTTTAGTAACTAAATAAATACCAGTAGAGATAAAAAGAAAAATAAAAGGGGAAAAAGCCATATTAGTAACAATGTGATGTACGTACTTGCAGATCTATCTATCTTGTGAGTAAAAAATGTTCAATTTGGTGAAATTATGTTGCGTATTTTCTCTTTGAAATTAAATTTAATTTCTGGATGAGCTGAGATGCATTATTGTATGCATTAAAGATTATACGTAATACAAATGCTTGCCATCTTCAAATTAATTGGGGTCTTTCCTAGTGTTTTTAATATGCAATGTTCACAACCTGTGTTTCAGCTAGATGTGGCAGCACTTTGTTTCCGAAAAGAAGGGTTTTAACAAAATGACCTTTAATTGAGAAAGACTTGGATTGTCTTTATATGTTTCAATTGGGTCAAAGTAGTCTTTTTCTTAGGTTCTTCTCCACTGACCACATTAGATGTGCCTCAGCACTGAAGATCATTGCTTCCGATACACTATGTAGTTTTCTCTTACCATAAAATTCCAAAGCCTGGTTTATTTTAAATACCTTTGGCCTTTTTTGAATATATGTACAGTTGTATGGTTAATACAATTTCTTGTTGTCTGTGTTAAAGCAGTTGCTTGGTTTTGGCAGACATTGGTTTCCTATTGGTTTCTTATTCTGCAGCTCCACTTCTTGCAGTCAGAGACACACTTTTGTAAGGGTTCTCAGCTTCTTTGCTTTGCTAAGTAATGCTGTTGTAAGAGATATTTGTTTCTTCATTTGTAGTTAAATGGTATCCACTGTAAAGTGGTCAGAGCTTGATATTCCCAAGGGACTCAGGTTGATGACTCAAGGTGGGGAGGGTAGGGGGTATGGGGAGTTTCTGCCTTTGTCACTCTCAGGCAGCCTATGGCCAAAGAGAGAAAGTTTTCCTGATGGGTTTAACATGATGTGATAACTGGGCTGGACTTTATTGCTTGCAATATTATTATTTGCCCATAATGTTTAAATACATATTCAGGAAACCATTTGCCTTATAGCTATCTTCCATTGTTAAGGAAAATTATTGATTGACTAAAACTTGTTGTTATTGTCATTTATTTTATGTAGAATTACCTTGCAAGGTAGATGCTTAGCTGCTATAAACTGCCACAGCTTCATGTGGGGCTGTGGCAGTTCACAGCAGCTGAGAATTCGCGCCCTGTGTCCTATGGCACTTTATTACGGACCCATCACTGATGGGTTAAATCTTAATTACTTGCGTAATGTCATATATAAATATATATATATATTTACAGGCATTCTATGGGGTACTGCTGCCTATGGATAAAGATTTGTACCCTAACCAGGTCATTATAATTTTTTTTCATTAGCTGTATGTGGAGGAGATACATTATGTTAGAAAGGATGCATCATATATATCTCATGTAGTGCATATTATAATGCTGTATGTTCTTAATTTCAGAAATCATTATTCTTGAGGCCCTACCTCAAATTTTGTATTTATGTGTACAAATGCAATTTATTGTATTATATATTTGCCTATTATATTTGAATGTGATTAAATGAAAATTATTCGATAATGTATGGGCTCTAAGGACTCTAAATAAATGTCTGGTGTTTAAAACAGAAAATACATTGACATTTTCCTGGTGAATGAACTGTGTCTTTTTCCACTGCCTCCTTCCCCACCCACTACGCACCACAAACATCATTCTTACTTAACAC